TTTTTTTTTGCTTATTTCCAAGTTTAACTATCATGTTTTATGCAAATTCAAATTTTAAAATTTTGATATTTTAAAAAGATAAAATATAAGAATAGAAAAATTTAGAAGATGAATGAAAAATGAAATAATTAGAAAATAATTTTACATAAAATTGAAAAAATAAAATGAAGTAAATAATAAGTTTTAGGTTAAACTAACGTCGAGAAAATGCTCGAAAAGTTTCAGTTCGTTGATGTACGGCATGATGAAATTCAAGATCAACCGGATAACCATCCAGTACTGTTTCATCACATTTTCTATTTTCATTTTCTTCTTCATCATCATCATCATCATCATCGTCATCATCATCATTATCATGATCTTCATGGTTGATATTTTCTTCTATGTCTTTCTTATTCTCTTTGATTAATACTGATTTTGTTGTAAGTCTAAATTATTTGAATAGAAAAAAAACAGATTTACGCTCGTTTAATAATTAATTATAATTTGAAAATGAAACAATAAAATGAAAATTTGAAATTTAATTTAATTTTTTTTTTTTTATATAGTACATCAAAATGAAACATAAAAAGTGAAAAAAGGCAAATTTAAAAAATTGCCCATTTTTAATAAATATGAAATTTCGGTAAATAATGTTACTTTGGATTGGTAGGTGGAATTTGGTCGGAATGTGGCGCAATTAGCGTCATCACATCTGGTTTGCTTTGTTGTTGTAATCCTGCAATGGCAGTTGTTGTTTTAAAAATAAAAAAAAAAAGAAAAGAAAAAAAAGGGAAGAAAATTTTGAAATTTTTTTTATTGGAAAAAAAAAATAATTCATTAAGAAAATGCATTATGAGTAAAAATCGGTTCATCAGTTATAAACAAAAAAAAAAGAAAAAAGAGAAAGAGAAGAAAGCCGAACTAAATTGATTGGATGAGACGAGTTTGAAAATTATGAAGTGAAAAAAAAATAGTAAAAACTAATTTTTATATACATACATCATCAAATGTTGTTTGTATGCATAAATTTTGTCTAACTTACTTAGTTCATTACTTTCTCTTCCATTTTAAAATATTACTTAATAGAAATTAAAATATTATTTAGTGAAAAAAAAAAACTCCAATAGATGAGATATTTAAAATTCAATTTCTTTTCCTTTTTCCTTTTTTTTTTTTTTCTTCACAGGATAATAATGACGTATTATGGTAAAATAAATTATTTAATTATAAAATGATATTTTGGAAAAAAAACGCTCAATTCTTCCAATTAATAAGTTAGAAAATGATTAAATCATTCACAAAATGCATGCAATTTTAAAATGATACTGATGAAAATTTTCAAATCGAAATCAAAAAAAGGTTAGAAATTTTAAGTTCCGAAAGAAGCAATAAACTAAGATTAAATAAGTAAAAAAAAACATTTTAAATTTGATTTTTCAATAACTGAAAGTTTAAAATATGATGAAAAAAAAGTTTTTCTTTATGTTAGAACATTGAAATAAATGATAAATTTCTATGATATTTTTATTACCATTAACTACATAAATAAAAAAAATTTTTTTTTATTCAGTTACTGATAAACCATTGTTCATCATTTATAAATATTAATTGATAATTTCTTTGGATGATATGATTGGAGGAGTGTACCAAGAAATGGGAGAAAGTGGGAGGGAAAGATTACAAGATGGGGAGGCATCATCTTTTGCGGTTCCAATTGAAGGAATCGGAAGTTACGCGTAGGTATAACAGGAAAAAAAAAGATGAGGGGGAGGGGAAATGAGTGGGTGGATGAAATTTTTAAAGAGGAAAAGTCAACGGAAGAGGTGTTTGTAAATGGTGTATGTGTGTGTATGTGTGTATATATGTGTGTGTTCGGAAGTGTTTGTGGGTGATAAAAGGCAATCGATGTCAACAATGGTAATGACAAAAATTTCATTTTGCTTCTTAATAAAATGGATAGCAAAACGTGAAAATTTGAAAAACAACTGGGATGGTATATATATATATATATGAGGTTATTATGCAGTTCAATTACCTTACTCTCTTACCATTCCTCTATTCAAACTTACTGTCTCTTTCTAAATAGTAAATTTTAAATTTAGTTTTGTCATTTCAAGTTTTTTTCATTTTAACCAGTCATTCCACATATATACATCGTACATATATTCATTTCATAATTACATTTTGTTAGATAACAAAAATTCAAGAATTGAATGTGCCAGTAATTAAATTGATTATTTAATTAATAAATAGGTAGCTAGAGTGATGACCGTTTTTCTTCTTTTTAAACAGAAATTTAAAACTGCATTTTAATCAGATAAGTTGACTTTTCATTTTTATCATATCTATATCCAGTTGAAATATGAAATCATTTTTGTCAATTTACTTTACTCCT